TTAGGATTATCAAAGGTCAGCATTATTAAGTAGGCTGTAATTGTTCATAGCAGGTAAAATAATGGGCGTGGTGATGGTAGGGAAGGGTGCACAAACTCTAAAGAATGGCATGTTTTGGTGTAACATCCAGGCAGGCAGTTGTCATAGTTCACGTGGTTTATAATTACTTCTCTGTTAACCACAACTAGTTTCAGGAATCAGGCAAAATGCATAAGAGAGCAATCAAATTACATACTTCCAGGAAACCAGTTCAAGTTTCCCTGAACTGAAGCTGTATGTAGGTAGAGAGCTGCTGCAGAGCACACATAGACCCAATATACTTTCACACTGGGGTTGCCTGTGCTGTTAATAGCACTGAACTATAAATCTGAACAGTCTTCTAAGCACAGGTGTTTCTTGAACACCCAGTTTGTTCAATATACCTGCAGCATTATGTTTTCTCTTCCCCCAGGTCCCTGGCAGGCTTCAGTAGATCTTAGTTGAATAGACTTTAGCCATGGACTATGAAAATAAAACTTCATACCAAATCACATTTTAGCTATCAGTGATCAGGTGTCCTTTTAAAGTTGATGCCTCCCATTTTTAAATACCAAGAAGGTGCAAACTATTATAATCTTGACAAGCTCAGAAAAATAGGTGTTTCACAAGAATACGCAAAAGGAACACACTTGCACGTTTTCTGCCAAATTAATTTTTGACCACTGTGGATAAACATGCATTTTGAGACCTTTAACAGAGGGCAGAACTGGGAGGAGACAAGATTAGAACTGCCTAAACCACAGTTTGTGTTAGTAGTTAATGATTTGTCCACCAGGTAACAGCCCAGCTTTGCTTAAGGAGAGAATACTCTGACTTTTGAGCATTTGTGTGCTAGTATAACTGCTGTTGTTGTGGATACAGAACCTAGGTAGGAACCTCTTAATTATTCTTTTTGTTTGCCTTAACCTTAAAATGTTGCCATTCACTCTTTGCAGCTAAAGAACATTACATGTGTAGTACTAGTTGCATTTCCTGTGACCAGTAACACCAGTAACATTCCTGTTGCACATGTCAATGCTTTAATGATGGCATCATGCCTATGTATGTGTGTCTCTGAACAGTAACCATCATGCGTTCTGAACAATGCAAGCAGCAGTGAGGCCTGCACAGTGATCTCACTTATCTTATCAGGTTAACTTGAAAGCTCTTCTTATTATTCCTTAATGTATTTAAAAATCAATAAGACAATTGTATTGGCACTGCAGTTAGTGGATATCAATACAATTACATAAATTACTGGATTAAATGTTACTCTTGATTTCTGATTTGCTTGTCTGCAGGATGGTGGTATAGCCCCTGAGAGTGCAACTGTGGTGAGGAACAGTTCAAGAACTTACACTGTCTTTCCTGGATTCTGAAAATTCCTCAATCATTGCTGTTTGGGGTTTTTTTATAGGAGCCTGCAAAACCTGTGGCCACCTACTGTCTTGACCTTTGTAAATTAATTACCTGTTGTTCATGTTAAGATGTTTAAATCGGTGCTCTTATTCATTATAATTTGCATATTAGTAGGGGGTAGAAAACCAAGCTTGAATTTTTTTAATTTTCACTAATGAACAGCTCTACCTAGCTGGCACAGAGTTAGGCCATGACCCCTATAAGGCCATATACCCTGAAGCACTGAAGAATTCTGAGGCTGTCCATTGCAAGGCTGGCTGCAGGATCCTGGAACAGTCTCTCAAGGTGCCATGTACTTCCCATGACACTGAAAGCTCTTAGCTCCCACCAATACAAATGATCCACACTGACTATTAGTTAATACTCTTGGTCTTCTGCCACCTGAAGGGTTTCTCAGAAGACACTGCACTGAGCACAAGATAATTGAGTTTGTTGAATGTTCCTTGGGTATGATGCAAAAGTGAATAGGAAAAGTGTTAACTTTCATTCTCACAGTATGGCTTAGAGTTTTTTGATGGTTTGGTTGTTTGGGTTTTTTGTTATGTTTGCTTTTGGGGAGAGGATTGTCTTCTTCCCTCAGGAAGGAATTCAGGGTGATTTTTATTTAGGTTGATTGACTATCTAACCAATGCCAATATGTTATTTGACTGATCTCATCTTTCTGCTAATGCAACTACCTCAACTACTTCTGATACAGCAGAATGGCTTGTGAAGGCAAAAAGTAATAGTTTGAGACAAGGTATTAGTGAAAGAACACATTTGTTTCATAAAGCTTCATACTTTTCTTTTTCATGCAACCAAATGCCTGGTTTATTAAACATGGAAAATATTCTAGTGGCGTAAATCTAAAGTAACAGCTTTATCAATACTTGTAATTGTCAGGCTAAGCAGCAAATGTATACTGACATTAATTGTGAATTGATCTTTTAAATTTTTTTCTAGTCTTGTGACATGGAATTTCTCCAGTCCTTATCTCTTCTATCTCCAGCAGATTTCCATGTGGGTCAGGGTCAGCTGAGGTTGAGAGGAGATGCTGCCAGCAGCTCCAAATGCTGATCATTGCACATAGCTCACTCTAACATTTCTCCAACACAGCTGCATCATCTTGTTGCTTCTTTACCACTGTCCTAGCCTTCTTCAGTGAAAGAAACACCATCTCTAGTAGCATCTTTACAAAGCAATGATAAGATGTGTAATCCACCACTGACAGGAGCTGGTCATCCCCATTCTTGCCTGAGAGTTCTTCCTCTGGATTAGCTGAGATTCTGAGCACCAATAGTACTGAGACAACTAACTTCCACCATCTGGCTGGCTTACACTTTTCCATGTACATAGAGCAGCTAGAGCCTTGTTAAGATGTATTTTATTTTTCTTCTCTTTTTTTCATCCTTTATCTTGCCTGGTACACTAACCTTTGCCTCTGCTTGCATTTCTATTTGTCTCTGATCATGCAATCACTTTTTGTTGGAAAAGATCTTTAAGATCATTGAGTCCAACCATTAACCTAACTCTACCAAATCCAGTGCTAAACCACATCCCTAAGTACCACATCTACACATCTTTTAAATAACTCTAGGGATGGTGACTCAGCCACCTCACTGGACAGCCTGTTCCAATGTTTAATTATTCCTTCAGTGAAAAAGTCAAAGGCATTACAAAAGTCCAGGTAAACAGCATCCACAGCCTTTCCCTCATCCACTAAGTGGGTGTACTTTTTCGGAAGACCATTAATCTAATTCATAAGCATTTCTGTTGGTAGATGTACAGACTCAAGAAAATATTTTCCTGTATTTCTTATTCCTATCTATCTGAGGAGGCAAGGGGAAGGAAAAGCTTTTGTTGTTGTTGTTCTTGTCCAGATATGTTTTCTGGCCCAGACTTACAGCACAGCCACAGAAGCAGTGGAACTGGCATGAATCAAGAATCTGGGAAGCAGATATGAGCTGTGGGAAAGGAAAGGAGTTGTTCATGCCAGCAGTAGTACCTAAGGACTTGCTCAGAAACTTAGCCCAAGAAAATCATAAATTGTTTAAATCTCTGTTTGGGAATTTGTCTTATACATCCTTAAGTATTAACCCTCCTCCATCTGAGTTGAGAAAAATGTTCTTCACCATCATGCATTAGAGCATTACTTACCTTTTAAATGCTCTGACATATATCACTCTGCCATATGGCCTGTAGTAAAGCAATTTGTAATTGCAGATGGACTTTTTCCAGCACTGGAAAAGTTCATCCAACTTTCTTCAGCTCCATTCAAGCATGGAAAACCTCTCTTTGTGTGATTCCTCCTCCCCTCAACCCCCCTCTTCACCCTTTTCTCAAATGAGGAGACTACTGTGAAAGGTGAAATAAATCAGATCCTGTGAGCTATGATTTCTGAGTTCTAACCTGGGGACATTAGCTTCAATACTCCTATCTCCCCTGTGTGTAAAGATCTGCAGATCTGAAGAGGATTTGTTTCAAGTGACCCATTTTCTCCAAGGGGCTCTGCAGTGGCATCTGGATCTTCCTTCAGAAATCTGTTCTGTTTGTAATTGGAGTTGCACAAACGGGCAAGTGTTTTCTTTCTTTAAATAAATGTTGCAAATAGAAACATAGAGTTCCCTTACAGCTTTTCACTGTAGTATTATTTTTAATTGTCTAGCCATCTCTCAGACACAGTTTTTTAAAAACATGAGAAAAGAAAAAGGTGAAGTATTGTATTATTCATTGCAATAAAACCAATTTCACCTTAATAATGAAAAAAAAATGCTTTCAACAATAAAAAAAAGTGTTATATCAAAGGAAGGCAAAGTTTTGTTATTTATGGCTACAAAGTGTGCTCTTCCCAGGGAAACTGGAGCAGTTCTGCTTAACTGTTGAGTTGCATGTGATTTCATGCATCAGGGGATATAGGCAACACTGTGGAAACAGAAGCATATTAAGGATATCCTGTATACTTTTGCAAGAAGAAAAAACATATAATACCCTTACAGGAGGTCAACTAGCTATGATTTTTGGTTGGTTGGTTGGTTGGTTTTTTGTCATTAAGAATTGCTTCCGACAGGCTAGTGTGAAGGAATAAGTCAGATGGCATGGTGTTACTACAGAGATCCTATCAAAATGATGATGGAGTCCTAAGCTTCATGGCCTGCAAATTAAAATCTTCCCCAGCACTCACTGTGTTTCAACACTGATGCTTTGTTGATCCGTATGCTTTATTTTTGGACAGAGACTTTGTGTTTCACTCTTCTGTGGAAATTCTCTTTTTAGCATTAAAATCATTCTAGGCTGAAAAAAAAGGAGGGTTGTGGCAGTGGGGGGAGGGAGGGAAGACCCATTTCACTTGAAAAGAAAGATGTCAAAACCAGATACACTAGAATTTAAACAAATACACACTTTGAAACATCCAAGTCATGGAGCCAAATCCTTTCTACTGCAAAGATTCAGTTTCAACATCTCAGCATTTTCCTGTAACTACTGTTTCATCAGAAAGGTCTTAAGCAACTCTGTTTTGGCATATATGCTTTTATATTTATTATTGTTTTCTTTTGGGTTCAGATCACTCAGTGAAGAACTCAACCATGACAGCGGAACTCGAATCCAGCAATGTCGGCAACTCAAATCAGGAAGCAAAACCTGTCCAGCTTTTGGATGATGAAGCAAACAAAAATCTGCCAGTCAAAAAGGGGACTGCCTGTTGCAATGGCTTGAAGGTTTGATGCTTTCTCAGTATCACCACAAATGACTGTTATTATATGTTAAGAAATGTTGTTCAAGATACGCTGTGCCAGGTTACTTCATTCCTGTTCCCCCTATCTTTTCTAGAACTGGATACACACTGGAGGTAAAGGGGACACTTCGATCTTAGCTTTGTCCTAAGGAAAATTAGAATACCTGATCTACTATATTTATTCACAAGTTCCTCATACATGCATCCCCTTTTTGGTCATTAGACAGAGGTAACAACCTAGAGTGCAAGACTTGAAGCAGCTTAAAATAAGTGGCTACAATACACTTGTGTCTGGTGGTTGATATCACCCCTCATTCTTGCAGGGCCAAATTAAGATGAGGTGAACCATATCCCAGAACTTTTATCTAATCCAGAGATGCAGGTCAAACAGAGCACTGATTCCCACAAGCAGAAAAGATTTCAGAATTGACTGAACAAAGCAAGTAAACTAATGAGAATTTTGCTCTCATTTTAAAGCCTTGGTATTTATTGCTGCTGCCAGACCTACAAATACTATAAGGACAAGATTTCTTTTGACACTGATGTGTTTGTGTTTATGTTTTGATGATTTCTTCAGCTAGCTTAATCTCAGGTTAAATTCCATAGACTCAGTGGAGTTGCAACAGGGACACATTTGTCCCTATGAAGAGGTCTGTAAGATGAAAGATAATGGAAAAAAATAGGTAATTGCAAGCTTCTCAAACATCCAAAATACTTTGTCTCAAAACACAGGCAGAGATTGTAATATTTCTCATTTTATCTGACTCACATTTGCCACCCATATACACCTGCAAAAATAGAATCTGATCTCTCTTGGAGACTTGCAGAACTAACTTTACCATCATATAAGCAGGCAATGCTGCAAGTCTGTGGATCTATATCTAATTCATGGCAATTAGAGTTTAATAGAACAAATACCTTGGAGATAATAAAAGACAAACTGTTATCCTCCCTCATCTTCCCATCAAACATTTTCTGATTTACCTGGGGTTTACATTTTCAAACCCAAAGTACCCAACTCATTTTTGTTTCTGTTTCCATGCTTATCAGCAGTTTGTGATTTCAGCCCAAACCCCTGAAAGCACTGCTGGTATAAGGCTGAAAATCTAGTTCTCTCAGACTTTTTGACATTTGAGCTCAGGAAATACAAAACGTCAGGTCAAAGCCCAAAGATGTGAGATTTTTCTCTTCATTCCTGACAAAAATTAGTACACCCATTTTCAAGGTTTTTCTTCCAGTATTGGCTTAATTTCTTACAGTAGATAATATTGCAAAGTCTAAATCTTTGTTTACTTTTGTTTATTCACCTACTGTTGTGTTATATTAGAACTTTTACCCAGTGAGCAATAAGTCTATTTGTTTTTTTAAACTATGTTGAAACAGTCGGATGATATTTAAACGAACTTAGTTTAACCTTCTATCAAATACATCTTTATTCACAAAAGCCACAATGTGTGTTGGTGGAAGCAACTATAAAATAATAAAGGATATTAAACTTTCCCTTATGAGATATGTGATATATCAGCAACATGGCCATAATCCACACAATTCAAAATATATGATCAGAAACAGAGATTAACTCGATCAATCTGTACCACCTCCTACATACAGGGAGATCATAAAAACTTGCATAGTCTTTATTTTGGTGTCATGGCTGTCTATATGTTTAAGTTAGAACCAGTTATGGACTGGCCAAAAATTTGTGACCTATGGTCCAAGCAGAAAATAATTTGGGCTTAGATTAATGTTAGATTGGACTACTATCAGTGTGTCTATCCTGATTAGGCATTGTATCTCTGGCAAACTTTACATTTCTGCAATGTATAGAAATCTCACCACTTTGGCTGCCCAACAATGGGCCTCATCTTTTTGGTTAAATTTAACCACGGGATGTCAGTAAGGTCAGTAGTCCCTAGTGAGTTGTTTGCTAAATTTAAGTTCCATAGTCCATCAGATTTCTGCTTTGGAAAACCTCTGGCCAGCAATGCAGGGAAAATCCGGCTTTCCAGTCACGAAGATGGTTATTGCAAACTGGTAACGCACGTGCAGCATGATGATGAGAGCTCCACACAGTTTTAAACATATTTGATTCCTCAGTTTCCCTGCCTCTGCCTCCCATTTTCTGTCTTAATCTTTCTTCAGGTATTTCTCGCTGCTTTATCATTCAGCTACTTCAGCAAAGCATTGTCTGGGACCATTATGAAAAGTTCCATCACTCAGATTGAACGAAGGTTTGACCTGACGTCCTCTACTGTTGGTTTCGTCGATGGGAGCTTTGAGATGGGTAATTGATATTCCATAATGTGCTGAAACCTCTTCAGAGAAACACAAGGCACAGCATCTGGCATTAATTTTGGTTAATTACTTTCCAGGTAACTTGCTGGTGATTGCATTTGTAAGCTACTTTGGAGATAAACTTCATAGGCCCAAAGTAATAGCTGCTGGATGTTTTACTATGAGTTTGGGATGTCTTTTAACAGCAATGCCTCATTTCTTCATGGGATAGTAAGTACTAATCAAGGTTAATTTAGGTAACCTAACATTGGAATTGGATACTGCTTTCTGGGTTTTGAATGAAACTTTTTTAAGTCTTCGATTTCCAAAGGCCTATAGAGCCTCACATCTATGTGCAATGAATCATGCTTGACATAGGTATTACTGTCCATTATATCTGGTTGAAAATATATGACTCCTCTATAGTAAAAGTTCAAGTTCTCAAAAAAAATAAGACAATCAAAGTGCTTTAGATTTCAGCCAGACTTCTTCAGAAAAGAGACAAAGGAGGAGATTATTTTATGAAATAATATGAATTTATTTTTTCAGGAGGAAACATCTATGGAAATCTTATGAAAATTTAAGTTTCAAACAAAGCATATTGTTCCTTGAAAAGCCTTCAAAAACACTATTTTGCTAGTGCTATTGCTTTAATGAAATATATACACTTCCTGAATGGCTAACTGTAAGAACACCTTATTGGGAAAATCAGTGTTAACCTAAGAATGTTAACCTAGTTATCACTAGTTGCTAATAGAGATGTCAGAATCATGCAGGCATGAAAGTAATTACAAAGCACAGTAAGTTATGAAGGATATAGATTCCACCTATATGATTTCCAGAATGAGTTGGAACTTGTGCTGTTTTGAACAAGATCTCAAAGCTCTGAGCTGATGACTTCTTATTAAGTGACATCTCTATGTGAAATTTGACCTAATTTGTAGTAACACATGTCTCTCCTGCAAAATCAAGGATTCAGAGCTTACTTGTTGAAAAAACCATCCTACAAATGTGCTCAATAGAAGAATTACTCTCCTTGAAAGTGGAAAACAGAGCCTTTTTTTTTGTGTAGGATGGTGTGTTTTGCTCTCATGTAGCAAAGAGTTGCTCTTCATGCTAAGGAGGCTTTGAGGTTCATGCCGAGCCTGCAGATGATCATTGCTGGTAGAACTGGTACCAGGGTTTTTCCTGTTTCAAATGTACATGGCTGGTTAAACTGTTTTTCTGTGGCTGATTAAGCTAATTTTTATTCATATTCCTCGGGCTCAGAGATTTACCACTTACTGCAATAATATTTCTAGCCACAGCTTTGAGACAGCAATAGCATAAACTTTGACTTATTTCTGTTGCTATCTTTAATGCATTACAACAATTTTACATGTCTGACTGCAAAAAGAAAACTAAGAAATACTCCTTTTTATTGTGATAGTGGAACTTGCAGTAGCATCAGACTGTTTTCTTTTCCACTGCTTAGGCCAAACTAGGTATCTTGCTCATCTACACCAGAAAACCCATACAGTTTCTCACATCCCTGTGCCAGAATTTTTATGAAGAAATTGTTATACACTGTCTCTTCTCAGCAATGCTCTTTGTTTCAACCTGAAAAGTAAGCCTATCTGGTCTTGAGCCAGCTTAGTTCTTAGAAACAGTGTGTGCTTTACTACGTTGAGCTGCTTAAGCTAATTGTACTTTGCACCTCAGCAGGGCTCCTATCTGTGAAAAGGATCATGCTAAAGCAGCCAAACAGCTTCCAGCACCTGAACTGCTCAGCTGCCACCCCACAGCATTGCTGTAAATACAGCCAAAGAGTGTCTTTTAGCTAGTAACTTTTTTGACCTGCTACTATAAAACAGCTGTTTATAAAGCCAATGCCAATTACTAGGCAAACAGGTACCTCCTGAGGGTGACTCCTCCCTTCCTCACTCCTCTTCTCCCTCACGACTCCAAAACACATATCTACAATTACAAGATACTGATGCTCACACTGAAGGCATTCTTCTTTTTCCCTTTGGTTGTGGGATCAACACAGGGAGTTTGTTAGGACCTGTTCCTAAATTTTGGTACCAACATTTCAATCCTACCTGAATTACTGTCAAAAGACCTTTTGAATTTCCACTTAAAATGTTATGTACTCTAGACAGATGATTCTAACTGCTATTTGTTTTCTATTTCAATAGTTTTCCAAACTTTTTTCCAAAGTGGTCTTAAATAAGCTTCTTTTTTGCTTCTTTGTTAGCACTTTTGATTTATATTTAAACAGATACCTTTCTCTTTAGGGACACAGCACTCAAGTGATTTCTGCCCTATTGTACCAGTATCTCCCTTGTGAATACTGCTTCTAAACATACTATCATGTGTTTTCAGCTATAAGTATGAGACAGCATCACATACAGTCTCTTCAGACAACTCAACCGGCAGCACAAATCCCTGTTCCCTCCATCATGGTGTGAATGGAAGCTTGTTGGAATTCTCTCAATCAGGTAAGGATCTGTAAGTACAAATAGAGGAGCTATTTTTAGCCTTGATTGCAAGTGGAGTCATTGTCCCATGCAAGATGCTCAGTTATATATACGTCTTCAGTCTCTACCTGTCTGGGAAGATTACTACTTTGTGCATTTCATTTGGAGAAGAAACATCCAGCAAACACAAATCACTAGGATCTAGATGCCAAGTTTCTTACGTTCACACTTCCAAATTACAGTAAAATCACCATAACACTGAAGAACCTGCTGAGACTGTGTGCAAAGAAATTTCTGAAGGGATTCAATGGCCCAGCACCTGGAGTTCGGGAGGTGGAAGAGATAGCATGAAAGGACTTGAAATTGCACAGAGTTATTTGGAAATAAATGGAGATTTCTATGACTAAATAGAATACAGCTGGTTTACATGTTGCTTTGCATGTGACATAGGTAGAGAAAGAACCAGGTTCTGCCCTAGAAATAATCTCAACCTTCTCACATTAAAAATATAAGTTATATATGCCAGATAATACATTTAGGACAATATAAATCTGCCATTTTTTTAACATATACTTTTTTTTCTGATGGGAGATACTTATTTGTGTTTCTAGAAAGCAAATACAGTGAAGGTGGAGAAAAGTGTTATTATTAAATATTATTGTTAAAAGGTAAAATGAGTTTGACATCCTTTTGTTGATCTTCCCAGAGCATAATACTGTTAATACCTTAAATACTAAACTAATTATTTCATGTGCTGAATTCCCTGTGATTTGTCACTGTTTTCTATCAACTTTTTCCACTTACAAAGAGGTAAGCTCTAATTATCTGCAGGCTGTCAGAAGGAACCGTCATCATATACGTGGATATATATCCTTCTGGGAAACATGTTACGTGGAATTGGTGAGACACCAATAACACCATTGGGCATCTCTTATCTTGCTGATTTTGCTAAAGAAGAGGACATTTCAGTGTACGTAGGTAATGTCAATATGATGTAAACTGAGAGATTTGTAGTGTAACAGGTCAACCATTTTCTGCAGGAAGAAACATTCAGCCATTAAAATGTACGAGCATCTGTTTCATTCTATTTTCAGGATGTTTGCACACTATAGCCATGTTGGGCCCAATGTTTGGTTTCCTGTTGGGATCTTTATGTGCAAAACTGTACGTGGATATTGGATTTGTAGATTTAGGTAAGAAAAATATAAAGTCATGGCTAATCCCTCCAATGCCACAGAGAATGCCTACACGCTTAACAGCATTCTACAGAATTCAGGTCAGCAGAAGATGGTCTCAGTAGAAATTTTTCAGCCCTAAAGGGTCTCCTTGCTCAGGGTCTGTATGCCACCTATTTTTGTTTCTTACATGTTGGATAAGGACCTCTGTGTTGTCATGTATGCCACAGAATAGCAGCCAGCCTAAGATTTAGGAAGGTAGATGAAGCATAACACCACACAGGGTATGATTCCTGATGCCTTCACTACATGAATGATATCTCATTTGGTGATTATCCTTACCACTGGAAGTCAGACATTGTAAAATTTAGCAGATAAAGGGTAGGAATGTTCAGCTTCATTTAATTAACTTGTATCTGTTTCACTCAATTCTAGGAAGCATCACTATCACCCCACAAGACTCCCGCTGGGTGGGTGCATGGTGGCTTGGTTTTTTAATAGGTGGAATAGTCAATTTCCTAGCAGCTCTTCCATTTTGCTTTCTGCCAAAGAGTCTAAAGAAGCCAGAGGAAGCCAAGGATGTCCAAGCTTCATGTCATCTTTTGGAAAATACAGACTCTACAAGGAAGGCACTTCCTACAAAACCTATGGCAAGGAAGTGGTCAGTAATGCTGAAAGGCAAGTGTTTTGCATCTTTTATGAATGTGAAATGCAACAGGCACAACATACAGAGGGAATGTAACAGTTCTGCGGAATATTTTACTTCCCCTGCTCTTCAGTTGAAACTAGTTAGTTATCCCCAGGACGGGAGGGGTGCGCTAAGGATTAGTAGAAGTCAAAGAGCTTCTTCAGAAGTGTGATGTTCTGCATGCATCACCTACAATGCATCATCATCTGAGTTGCACCTACCTCTAAAATTTTGTGTTAGAAGAAATTTGAACAGTGGAAAAATTGTTTCTGTGTCCAGACCTAAAGAAAATATTTTCATAGAATCATAGGATGGTTTGGGGTTGGAAGGGATCTTAGAGATCATCTAGTTCCAAAACCTCTGCCAAAGGCAGAAACACCTCCCATTAGAACAGGTTGCTCAAAGTCTCATCCAACCTGGCCTTGAATATTTCCAAGGAGGGGGCATCCACAACTGCCCTGGACAACTGGTGTCTCACCATCCTCACAGTAAATAATTTCTTCCTAATGTCTAGCCTAAATCTAGCCTCTTTCTACTTAAAACTGTCATCATCTGTTCTATTGCTACAAGCTCCTGTAAAAAGTCCATCTCCATCCTTCCTGTAGGCCCCCTTCAGATACTGGAAGGCTGCTATAAGGTCTCCCTGGAGCCTTTTCTTCTCCAGGCTGCACAACCCCAATTCTCTCAGCCTGTCTTTATAGGAGAGGTTCTCCTGCCCTCTGTTCACCCTCGTGGCCCTCCTCTGGACTTGCTTCAAGAACTCCATGTCCTTCCTGGCTTGAAGGCTCCAGAACTGAACACAGTACTTCAGGTGGGGTTTTGCAAGAGCAGAGTAGAGGGGTAGAATCTCTTCCCTTGGCCATGTTTCTTTTGTTGCAGCCCAGGACACAGTTGGCTTTCTGGGAAGCAAGTGCACATTTCCTGCTTATATTGAGCTTTTAATCAACAAATTACCCCTAGCCCTTCTCCTCAAGGCTGTTCTCAATCCATTTTTTGACCAGCCTGTAATTGTGCTTAGGATTGCCCAAGCCCATGTGAAAGACCTTGCACTTGGCCGTGTTGATCTTCATGTGGTTGATACGGACCCACCTCTCAAGCCTGCCAAGGTCCCTCTGGATGGCTTCCCTTCCCTCCAGTGTGTTGTCTGCACCCCACAGCTTGGTGTCATCAGCAAACATGCTGAGGGTGCACTCGATCCCACTGCCCATGTCACCAACAAAGATGTTAAACACCACTTCCAATACCAAAGGCTCCTTTCTTAATATGGAAAGCCAAATTATTTATCTGATGATCACAGAGTTCATGGAGGCTCTGAAGCACATTGCTGCTGGAGGAAGATACAGCAGGCTTGGGTATCAGCTCTGGTTGTGCAGCCATTAGGCTAAGAAAGGGGTGGAAACATGGTTGAAAGAGATTACTTTGCATCTTAAGCCAGATTCTCATACCTTTGTTCAGATCCCTGTGGAAGACATAGGCATCTCCACAAAGGAAGGTCTCGCTTAACCTTTAACCCATGTTAATAGTAATGTAAGCGGAAAGAAGTCTTTACTGTGTGGAGCCTTTTAGTCTTCATTTGCAGCTCTCACTAGAGCACATAGGCCTTAACCCATACTTCAGCCTTCTTGTAGGATTCTCTTTCTGTATCTCAGCTTCTGGTGTTTTTCAGGAACCTGATCTTGCTTTCAGATATTCACATGTAAACGAAAATCAGTACAACTTGCTCTTGGACAGCTGAGAGAAGGATTTTGCCCTAAGTTCTGTAGATTACTCAGTAGTAATTATGCCATGCAGATTTCAAAGCCAACTCATATATTCTTTTCTTTCAGATTTCTGTACCTCCCTGAAAAAAGTATTGAGTAATCGAATGTACTTTACATTTTTGTGTTGCTCGCTGCTACAGTTCAATAGCTTTATTGGTTTCATCACTTACAAAGCAAAATACCTGGAACAGCAGTATGGACAATCAGCATCTAAATCTAACTTTCTAATAGGTGAGTTACACTGTGCAATGACTTTATGCTTTAAGAAGTGCATGGAGAAAAGTTCTGGCATGCCCTTTCTGAGACTGAATTCCTTCCAGTACAGACTGATATAAGTGGTGGTCTCTCCTGAACTTGAATTACATAATGGCAGCTCACAAACCTGTGATGCCCATGGGACCAGGGCAATTAATTATATAGTATGATATATTCATATAATTTAAGTTATTATATTTTTGCATGTATTATATTATATCAAGGGCACCCCAAATATGCAATTAATGTGGTGTGGGAGTTTAAATTGCTGCAACATCTGAGAAGTGTCTTGCAGTGGAAGTGGATTTGAAGGTTAGAATTTGGAAAATAGCATATGCAACCCAGGGATTAGGCCACCTAGAATCATCATAGCAGAACATGCAACTGCCAGGGACACCAACCTAGGGACAGACTTTGGTTCTTAAGCCCACTGTAACTCTTTTCTTTTAATATTCCCCTTCTATAATCTTTTTCAGGATTAACAACCTTACCTCCTGTGGGTATTGGGATTTTTCTAGGAGGGCTCATAATGAAAAGGTACAAAATGGGCATAATTGAAGCAACCAAGTTTGCATTTACCATGTCATTTTTTGCCTACGCCTTCAGTCTCTTGCACTTTTTTGTTGGCTGTGAGAACCATGTGGTAGCAG